CCCCCCCCCCTGACGTGCACCTCGTCGCTCTGTGTGCGTGCGGCGCGCTCGCGTGAATAATAATAGAGGAGCGCGCGCGCGAAGAACAAGCCGCGTCGTCGCACACGGAGAAACGCGTATTCACTCGTACACGCGTAACGGGTCTCTCGTGCGCGAGCGAACGAGCGACACACGTACACAAAGAGGAACACGGTAGGTAGGTAGGTACCGGCTCATTGGTCGCACCGTATAATTAATGGGGACGCAAACCCTGGGTGACGTTTGTATGCAAATGCCCGCATGTACAATCTCTCCCTGATCTCTCGCTCTTCGCCTGCCGCGGCCTATCACCACCGACGCCTCTCTCTCTCTCTCTGTCTATCTGTCCGTGTCTCTCGCTCCACCTCGCTCGTTCGCTCTACAGCGCCTCCTCGCCGCGGGGGACACCCCGTCGTTCGCACTAATACTGCGGGATTCCGTTACACCGCGCGTCCCGACGGCGCGGGTTTCTCGTTGGGACGAAACAGCACCGATCGCCGGACGATGCTTACAAGTGTGGCCTATCGACGTTTCCTTCGCACACCGCGCTTATCGCGACGGAGATGCGAACAAGCTCCTCAAGCGGTGAACGCGCCCGGGATTTGTTTCGTCCGTCGAGCGGCGAACGGAGGCGTCCGGGTGAATCGCCGGATCGCCGACGATACCGGGACACTTGTTCTCCTGGGGAGGGAGGAGGGGGGAGTAAAAAGACAAATTTGTACTTTACATCGGCTCTGTACGTTACCGCACGCACCCTGAGGAAAATGCAGAGTCCCGGCGAGCTGTGAAGGTGATAACTACAGCGAGTTTTGCGTGTAGAAGTAACGCGCACGGTTTGATCAATCGTTTTATTATTACTGCAAGTAAATCTAACTAGTATAGCGCAGCGTAAACCATAGTTGCCGATGACTACAATTATCCTAACCAATTGGGTTTAGTTGGAAGAATTGGGAAATAATTGATTAAGGGGTTAGGCCAGTCTAGGATTTTCAAAAAATCGAAATTTTTTTTTGCTCAAAGTACACTTTAGGGTCCTAAAAACATTATTCAATTGGTAGAATAGTGAAAAAAAATTTTTTCCCTGTCCAATCCGCTGTAGTGTCGAAGCGTTTGGAACGGGCGACGAGCGCATTTTCTACCTGCCGCGGCGGGCTTCCTTTTGTCCCCTTTTTACGACTCTTAGAACTCTGGAGATTCGATTGTCCAGAAGAAAGAGTGTATCGATCACGTCCAGAAACGCATGGGTACGCATCTCCGGAATTTAAAAAAGAAAACAAAGGGCCTCGGCGGAAAAGGTAAACTAACTGGCAAATTGATCGATGAACTGTCAATTTATTATGGTCTAGCGATACGCAGAAATCATGAATCTGTAGAGAAAATGAGGACTGCGATCTACGCAACGCTAGATCACAAATTATCAACAGATGCCAAGCCCAAGCACGATCACTGCCCGAGCGGAGAAAATTTGTGGTGCTCGTGGCAAAGGGCCAAGGCCACTGGAACTTTGGACGAATATACACATAAACCACCTTTACATGAAGAAGTATACAAGGCTATAACTCCAATTTATGAAAAAATAATCAGTGATGATATATTCACTCGTTGCATAGGCGGCTTCACTCAAAACAGTAATGAGAGTTTCAACGCTACAATATGGTCGATGGCCCCGAAAGTGACAGTGGCAAAAATGTACTTGACACAGCTGTATATATTGCTATAGGTACTTATAATGATGGCTTCATAAGTGCCATGAGAGTCATGCAGAACATAGGCATCAAAATTGGGCCGAACTGCTACAATTACTGTCAAAAGACTGATCAAAACCGCATCAAATTATCCGATCGTTCGCTCTCAGATGCTGCAAGAAGGTCTCGAATTGAACAGAAGGCATCCAAAAAGGAAGAAGATGAGTTCCACGTGTCCATAAAAGGTGAAATGTACGGCGCAGGCATCGCAGACTGAAGGTATAACAAAATTTTCAGCACGTAAAATTTTAAACGCGTTTTTCTGGAAACTGCATTTTTCAAATCGGGCGACGATGGTACTCGGAGACTATCGCACGTATTCACTTGAAATTTTAACTGTAGCTTCACAGTAACATTATCTAGTAAACTACGTACGATTCTTTTGTTATCATTGCAACTTTTTTTTTTATAAACAATTTACTGCTCATTTTTTCGATCAAAAATTGAACCTTTTTTTTACAAGTCCGCCATTTTGCGAAAAATTGATGTAAAGCTAAAAACATACGTACTTTACTAGCAAGTCTTATGTAGATTAAATCCCGTTCTTTATTTTGTTTCAGATAGCACGAGTTCCTAGAATCACCGTCGCCCGCAAAGGCCCTCTTGAAAAAAGTGATTCCGAAGATTGGCCCAGTAGCCGCCATTTTGTATCAAAATGTCAATATAAAAATTTTTTTATACACTCAAATACATGTTTAATAAAGCCTGAAAGAGAGAAATTCGATTCCTTTTTCCTTACTCCCAGAATAAATTGTCAAAGTTAGGCCTTTTTTGAGGGCTCTAGACTGGCCTAACCCCTTAAACTACGTGTATTAATTCTACGTGCAATATATTTTTCTCCAAGTGAAACCACATGCACGTATGTACGCACACACACACACACACATACATGCACATATACACATAGGGGGAAAAGATAAAACGAGCTTGTAAAAGCTTAATCGCGGCTACTTCTGCCTGAGACGATATTTTCCACAACGTAGCGAGTGTGATGAAAAAAATGCTGCATTAACACTTCGGATATCGTGAAGGTCACCGGGTGATTGTGATATTACCGCGTCTTGTTAAGGAGGTTGTAAAGTAAGATTGAGTTCAATAATAATTTGATGAAACTCGCGCTACGTATGTGTTGAAATGCTAACTGCTCGCACAATTAGAAAAAGATTAATCATTCGAGAG